GTAACTTCAGAAAGTAGATCTCTTTGGACTAAAATTTCGTCCGTTTGGCTCTCTCACCGTTTAGGCGCTAGAGGGAGTTTTAGTCACAAAAGTGGCCCCAAAATAAATTCATCATTTTAAGAAAGTATTTGATGGTCTCCAAGGGGTAAATCGTGAAAGATGAAAGCTCTGGGAAAAAATTTCGTCCGTCTGGCTTTCACTGTCAACTTACGAAAGGGAGTTTTTCTTACCATAATAGCCAAAACAGAGATATTTTTATTTTTTCAAAAGTACACTTCTGTCCGAGAAGTATGCCGTTGGTTCAAAATTTTCTTCTAAGCAGAAGAGTGGGCTTATTTTATGGTAACACATCATTTTTAAAACGTGTACACTTCCATGCAAAAAGAAAACAAAAAAAAACCACATTTGTTTTGTTGTTTAAACACGTTTGGAGTAATTCAGAGTATGCCAGGAAGTAAATTGAACTTCTTCTAGGTCTAGTCTTTGTATTTTTATAGGTGTGTTATTGGATTCATAAGCTAACATCAAGAACTTAGAAGGGATTTGGCATAACTTGCATGTATTCTACAAACTACGGCACACACAGCCAAAGATGTGAAGCGTATGAAAAGAATGCTTCGTTTGTTGAGTTTTGATTTCGTAGAAAGCAAATGTACCTGGCAAAAAGATGGTTCAAAGCGAGCCGTCACTCAAACGGCCCGAAGGCCCGCTTTCCGATAGAAGATGTATTGCAAGGTGAAAATTCAGAGGGCTGCCGGCAGGCCAATCTAGGCCCGGTCCCTGCCGAACCGAGTTGCCGGTGGAGCGAAGCGGAGCGGGCAACTTGGTTTGGCGGAAGAGCGGGCCTAACTTGTTACCTCTTCGTTTTACTCGAGTAGGGAGACAAATTTAGTTGACCCCTTTGAATGCGCTAGCATTTAGAGATATTTGATAAATGAGATATCTCCTTTTGTAAGAAATTAAAGGACTTGCCTCCAAACTCAATTAATTTATCAGGGAAAACTCGACTTATCTCCCTTTACGCATTTTTTCTTGCGGGAGATAACTTTTTAAAGTGTAGATAGGGTCGATGTCAAATATTCTACCCTCGCCATTTTTTCAAGCTCTCTTCAAAGTATAAGAATGAAACAGAAAAGTTCAGAACTTTTTTAAATTTGTAGCATTCAACAGTTTTTTGTGTTTCCTGAACACTTGTGGTTTTGCAGTTATCCCCTTCATCTCCTTCCTTGACCAAGTAAGTATTCCGGTTTGACTGAAATGTTGTATATGTGGTGAGCAAGGAAACGGAACTCACTGTGCGAAAGCATATTGATTTTCGTTTTGTTCTTCCACGCATACTTCTTTTTCGTTTCCGGCTTTACCGTAATGCTGTCTAGGGCTGCACGCCCGCTCGACAGCCTAAGATACTAAATGTGTAAACAGTGATTTACTCGTCGGGCCATGTCGAGCGGCCCGGCCCTTGCCGAAAGGAGTTGCCAGCGGAGTGAAGCACACCTGGCAACTTAGTAAGGCAGAAGGACGGACCTGCTCGATTTGCATTGGGTGACCGTGTGCTTCAGGCTATGTTTATTCTGACGACTACGATGAGGATCGTATGTTAATAGGGTGTTCCATGCAATCTGAAACGGCTGTAGAAAAAGAACAAACTAACTGATTTTTCCGTTTCCGTAATGGCTCTGGTTCGTCGATCTGATCGCGTGCCTTTTTACGTATGAGTAATTGTTAGATCTGTTTTGAGCCCACCTTCATATTTGAGACGTTAGAAAGGGACCAAAGTACCTCGACAATTTCTGATACTCACTGGACGAAACAGAGACAAATCAGTGAATTTGTTCTTTTTCACTTTAGTAAAGGATAGCCTGCAACATCCTATTTGGGCATTCCAAGTGTCCACAGTTCCAACAACTGTGAAACTCTTGTTGTGATTTTAGACATCGAGCTATATTGGCCGCTGGCGTCAAGTTTCACATTGTCCTGCGAGTATGAACCACGCAACCATACTGCTTAACCACTCAGTGCTCCTAGACAGAAGAGGGGACGAGCTTCTCACCGCAACGTTTCGCTGCACACGAGATGCACAGAGTTTCACCAGCGTAAGGAGCCTGGGAAGGAACTACAAAAGGGTGCTCTAAAAGTGCCGTCTCGGTGCCACACCGTTAAATTATTGACCAGCATCTAATGGAGTAAAACGGCGGCCCGCGGACCCGCCAAAGAGCATAGGAAAATGACAATGTGGTCCCCAAAAAATCGTGGTATCGGAACCCACCCTTTCGAGTAGTCAAATCGGTCGGGCCGAACCGAATGATGGCACGCTAGAGCAAGACGTATTGTCAACTCCTCACGGAAAGCTATAATTGCGTCGAAAATAGACTATCCGTGACCTTTAAATCCGAAGATAATTGGGCGCGTACAGACTTGAAAGATTCATATAGTGTTTCTGATTTCTAATCATTCAGATGACAGGGATCTTGCGTCGATGCAGAGATACTACAGACCAGTGCGAGCATTTTTCAAGACTTGAATGGAAGCATGGCATTTGCTCACTGTTGCCCGTTAAAAATGCTATGTGGTCGTCGATCATTGAACAATGGGAGCCTAAGATGAAATGCCCTTTCAAAAAGGTAGTTTAACAATTTCTGTAGAATGCTTAAGGAGTGGCAATCTAACTGAACTGGAACTTCCGATTGAACGAAAGTGCAACAAAACTCATCTGTTTCGCTGTCCCGAAAGACTAGCTCATCTGTTTCGCTGCTCCGCTATTTAACTTCTGCGGTTTGTAGATCGGCCCTAACTGCGGGGGCGTCAAGGAACAACCCGGAACTGCATTGATAGATATTTCCTGTGTATAACAGGGTCAGAATTTCTCAACTCAGCACTCGTCCGATCGGACCCAAACTGCAATCCACACGATTCCTGTGGGTTGTAGGAATAGTGTTGGGCTTCAAAACAAGCCCAAGCGCAGGTCTGTAGCTCAAACGGTTCAAAAGTTATGGGGCTTCAAAGTTTAAGCAATTTTAAGAAATCTTGTAAAATAATGAAATCTATTAAAATCGAGGATCCTAAAGTAGTCAAGGTAGCAGGATGTTCTTGTACTTAATCGAAAAGGCACAAATAGTCTCAGTTAAAAAAAAATTTAAAATAAATTTGACTCACCATGGGGTCATTTTGGCTAGGGTTTAAACATTCAAAAAATTTTATGTCAAAACACGCGGACCCAGCTTTTTGATTTTACTGCCCCAACTTCATCATTTGAATGAGAACTTACTACATAAAAATTATGAACCTTGGTATTGGAATACAGGGTAAGTTCTGGTCAAAAAAGGAGTAAAAATAATGACATTTTTCTCAACACTGTAAACAAGCAGGCCCGCCCTTCCGCCAAACGCAGTTGCCAGCTCCACTTCACTACGCCGGCAACTCCGTTCGGCAGGGGCCGGGCCTGCTTGGACTGCGGGCGGTGATGGTCGGGCCTGCGGCCCGACCATTTCAGTCTCGCGATTTACTAAAGAACATAACCAAATAAATAATGTGACCGGTAAATCACTTTCCATATTTGGGTAAACTAACTTCCGGTGGGGGGCCTGCCGCCCTAGAGATTTGCCTCTTTCACATGACAAAAGACTGTAACGGGGCAACACCGGACTACACCCCACCCTTCTGCTTTGCTTCAGAAAAAATACAAAAAAATAACCAGCGCAGTTTTTGGATTGCATTGTTTGTCAAACAGTCTTAAAACTTGACTTTTTGCCATTGTTTTCAATGTATCCACCTCTAGGTCCGAAACAGTGAAAGATACGGCAAATCCGAGGGTAGTTCCTGATTCAGAATGTGTTGTTTTGGGGGGGTACTTCTTCTTCCATTTTGCGATGGGAAGCTTCCTAGTACGTCTTTATGTGCAACCAACGTGGTCATTTTCTCCGTATTTTCGTCAAAAAAGCACTCTAGCGCCCAAACGGTGAAAAATAGAGTCGAACGAACAAAATTTTTGCCCGAAGGGTTCTATTTTTACGAGTTACCCCTTAGGAGACCATAAAAAATATATTTTTCCTACTTTTTGAACCAACCCCTATTTCTTTGCTACCCCCTTTCACCCACTTAGGGGTGAATGCCAGGATTTGCACCAGGCGTTTCGTTGTCCAGTTTCAAGCATCTGTTTAGTGTGAAAGAATCATATTTCCATCAACGTAGTCGCTAGATGGGCTCATTTTGTGCTTCTCAATTACATTTGGTTATTTCTTTTCATAAGTTACCCTATTCTGGCAAGAAACAAAATTAATCTTGTCAAACTAGTACTATTTTTGGTCAATTTGAAGAAAATGTCATTATTTTTGCTCTTATTTTGCCCAGAACTAACCCTGTATTCAAATACCAAGGTTCCCAATTTTTTTTTTGTAGTTAGTACTCACCCAAGTGAAGAGGTTGGGGGCACTAACATCAAAAGTCTAGGTCTGCGTGTTTTGAGAAACAAATTTTTGAATGTTTTAACCCTACCCAAAATGACCCCATGGTGAGTCAATTTTTTTTTTAATTTTTTCTAACTCAGACTATATGTGCCTTTTCGATTAAGTACTAGCTATATGTACGCCAGACCACGTCTCGCGTAACAGGCTTCGCGATATCTCACGAAACACTGTTACGCTGCGACGCGCCTGGCGCACATATAGATAGGCCTGCGGCGCTGACACCCGAGACGAGTTAAGGAGAGGGTATAGGGGATCAGGGTCTTCCGGGCCCACAATTTGACATATTCGAACCATTTGTCGGGGTCTTCTTACTCTAAAATTAGGGACATGAAACTTCTGCTGTTCGGTAACGGTTTTCATTAAAAAATCGAATTTTGTCAGATTGTAATGTAAAACTTAACGTTTAAGTGATAGAAGATAATCTAGGGACCCTTAAGCCCAAAAGAGGGTGTGGTTCGACCCGTAATGTGTGGTCTAAGTATTACTCCCCTTACAATTCTGTGACAT